AAGCACCTGGCTGTATTAGATACTCAATAAATATTTGTTGAGTGAGAGAATACAATTTTTAAGTATTAGCACATTTCAAAAATAATTTTTTTAAATCTCAGAAGGCTATCAGTGATTGATGACTAGTGCTGCCATTTGCTGTTTAAATATCTCTCTGCTATTTGCATGCAAAATAATTATGCCCACAATATTTCCAGTAAGTGTAAAAATAAATGAATAAATCCAAATAACTAATACTCCTAACAACCTAGAATCCAATAAATAATCTTATTTCAGAAAATATCAGGTTGGTTCTTAATAGAATTTATTTGTCTACACTCCGTAATCCAACTGGATGATAATTATTCTGTCAACAAGTTATGCATTTAATATTATTACTTATTATATGACAAATGAAATGTCACTTCATATTGACAGTCTAGCTGAATGCTTAAAAAAATATGATCCCTTTGAAGATGTATTAGTAAATCATTATTGTTAAGAGTAATATATTATCCAGGAAATTAATGTAAAAATGGTCTCAAGTATAGCTTAATATTTTGATTAAAATAAATAGTTTTGCATGTTTCAGACGATCAGGTCATGGTTAGTGGATTTTACTACTTGCAAATATTTTTATAATAACCAGAATATACTTATGGACAATAAACTGTGTTGACAGAGGAAATGTTGACCATCATCATCACATGCAACTAAATTTTAAGTACTGTTCTCCAAGAAAGTTAAAGAAATAGTTGTAGATATCTAGAAACTTGCTTTTTGAAAGAGCAATTCTTAACATTAAATTTACTTATATAATAAATAAGTGCTGAACCTCAGCTATGAGCAAAGCAGGGAGTGACTTTCAAACTCATGAACCATTTTCCTTCCCACAGAAGTTTATAATCTAGTAGGAGGAATAAAACACTTAATCTAATAGTTAAAATGGAAGTCCATTATTGATATAAAGCAAAATGTAAATTAAGGAAGACAGAGACTGCTTATATTGGTTGATTGGGAAATAGTTCATGCAGGAGTTGCCTTTGGAGTTGGACTTAGAGAAGAGCTTTTCTGCAGGCCTGTGTAGAAGAGCTGGTGTTTCAAGTGAAGAGAAATGAGAGAAAGGATGCAGTGGCTTTACTATTTCCATGACAAAATGTAGTGCACTTTGGCTGTAGACTGTAAGTCGGACATAACTTTGAAAGTTTGTTGAAAACAGTAATAGCCTAGACTAAGATGGTTTCTGAGGAAATGCAAAGGAAAGTTAGCTAACAATATACAACTAATGTCTACATTGCAAGATACATTGCACTAATAACAGCATCAACTAATCTGATGTCCTGCTTGTCTATACATTAAAAATAAACACATGGTAAAAGAAATAGATATGTGTTTTAACTTGCTGATGACTTCAATGTCACACAATTATAACTCTTTATTTCCAGACAAAACTTCATAACTGACAAACGACTATCACGTATCAATTTTTAGGCCTATTTGTTTCTTAATGATATACTTATATATTCCTGGATGAGGGGAAGAAAATACATAAAACTATACTTAAACCAATAGATTTTCAAAAACTTTCATGTAACTTTATTTTTATCCTACTTCTAGAGACTACTGCTTCTTATTAAGAAGAACAGTGAATGAGTCTATCAGAAAATGTGCCTAAACATGGAAGCCATCTCCAATCATTAGAGTTTTATACATAAATGCAGTTATTTACCCATCATTTAATTGATACCATCAACTCAAGACATAGGCAATAACCCTATACTTTCATAAGCCATGTACCACATGTACATACACAATATTATGCTGTACATCACTTCATTTGATTTCATAACTTGCTTTTCTTTGCTTTCGCCAAAGCAAATCATCTTTTTATTTGGCTATGCTATTTTTCTTGTGTAACTAATGTAGTATATTATCTTTGCCAACTCAGTATCATTTGAATATGAGTCAACAACCCATGAAGAACTTATGATAAAGGTTTACCTCAACCACATTCACAACATAAGAGAATAATAGCAAATATTATACCTTGCTTTTTTTCTAAGTTTGGATGATCGAATTAGCCTATCTTTTTATGAGTACTAAAGAAAATAATATCATTTCAAAAAAATACAAATATTTTTAAAATATCCCAGTAGGAGATATGGATGTAACTGTAATACTTGTTAAATCTTACCATTGATAACAACCCTAAAACAAAGTTTTGTTTTCTTTTTCCAAACACTTGTAACATAAACAAAGGGAAAGAAACTTAACTGATTAGATAGTAGTTTATATATTTTACTTACAAATTCAGATTGTTTTAGGTCTGAAACTATAGGCCTGGAACATTCAGAAAATACCACCATAGTGTTGCTTTTCCATCTGGTAAAAATAAATTGTTACCATGTCTTTTTTTAATCTTATGGAGAATTTAGTTATATCAAGACTTCATATTCGTTCTCTTTAAAAGTAATTTTTCAGATAAATTATATTGATAGTAATAATCAAATATTTCATTTTAAATGTTTGGTTATATAAAAATGTATAATCAAGTCCATAGTTAATTAAAGAATTTCTTAATTACCGTGACCCAGTGATAAGCTATTGACATTTGTGTTCATATAATATTGATTATTTATTGTAAGTAGAAGTGACTATAGTGAAGAATATCAAATTTAAATTGTATTAACACATATGTTTGAGAAAGATAAATCACATTCCAGCTAATGATATGAAGTAGTTCACATAAATAGTAATGCCTGTTTAAAAAAAAATAAGAATTTTCCTTGTGTTTAAACTTCATAAATAATTAAAAATTGAATATAACACTTTTTAAAAATCATCTCAATGTTTTCCAGCAACATACTCAGACCCCTAAGTTTTAGGATCATAGTCCCTGTACAAATAATCTATTTTTTTCTTAGAAAATAAATTGCAGGTTATTATTATGCTGCCACTGATTTGAAGAATTTTCTTCTACTAGAAGAAGTAAAAAAGTTACTTGCTAAGTAGTTAAGAAGTTTTGGGCATGGAATAATTTATTTTGGTATTCTTTGCTCTCCCAGTGCCAAAACTACCTTAGCATGAGCACCAGAGATCCCAACTCATTTATGTAAACCTGCACCCCGACTTAAATATCCTAAGTGATAGACACACACACAGACACAATTTAAGTGATAAATTGTAGAGAGCGGAAGGTAAAGTGTACTGTTAATAAAGATTACTACTGAACTTATTTTGCTATTTCAGATCCAGTAAAAATTCAAGTATCTATAATATTTTAAAATATTGAATAGTGCATAAGTCTAGATATAAACATTTTAAGTAAATTTTCAAAATCATTAAATGATATGTAATCAGATACTTCTTGTTAGTATAATGAAACATGGTTTAGGTAGCACATACTGTACATATAACTGAATGAAATGAAAGAATGTTGGCAGTTAATGGAAAATAGTGATGGATTTTACAAGATTAAAACAACTGACATTTTATAAATGAAAATTTCTATTTTCTGCTTTGGATTTTATCTAAACTGACAAAAACAAACACATTCAGATTTCTCAAATTTCTTATATTATGTTCTCTTGGGTAGAATATCTGGAAAGAGTACCTGACAAATCAACCTGTCAGGTGCCATAGTTTAATATTTATGTGGGGATTTGCCAGGATGGACAAAATGTGTACTAATCTCTTCCTTACATAGCGGACATGAGTTGGTAGAATTAGTGCTTACAAAATCCACTGCTTAATTGCACAAAGTAAGTTTTGTGCAATATTTTAGCAGAAGATTATGTAAAGATGGATGATAAAAGGCAAAATAATGAGATGGTGAACTTATCCATTAACAGATTTTGACATTATTAATTCTGACAATATATCTGTACTATCATTAGAACCTATTTTACCCAATCATTTCTATCATATATAAAAGACCTGGTCTTAAGGGCTGAAGGATTTTCTTGAGGTAACAGAGAACGCCGTGATGTCCTGCTCCTCAGAAATCCCCTTCCCCTACTTACACTCCTATGGGCCAGTACGGACTACTCTTCCATACATTAGACTTTGATATTACAAAAATTATTTTACAGTAACAGTGCAATGAGCACAGAACTCTTGCAAATTTGTAAGCATCTGAATTTTTTTTAATATAATATTACATCGAATCTATTCTTTTTTTCAACTTACAGTTTCTCTGCCCCATTCACTTCTGAGTCAGGACCAGATTTTTTTCACCTTTCCTGGGAGGTTATAGCACTAAAGGATTAAATAACAGAAACCTGGAGTCATTCTCTTTTTTTAAACATAGCTTTTTAACTTCTTTTTATTGAATTTATTGGGGTGACACTGGTTAACAAAATTATACATGTTTCAGGAGCACAAGCCTACAACTCATCATCTGTACGAAATGAGAACACACTCTCTTACTTGTGGTTAGAACAGAGGTGAGGGATTATCTGGGGGCAGGGCAGGAGAGGATGAAAATTACTTCAGTCACCATTTTCTATGAGCTTTTGAGGACACCAAGGGCAACCTCATCTTTGGAAAAATAATCCATCAAGTGAATATTTACCTCAGGAAATTAGGCTACAGGATTATTATCCCTCAAAAAAAAAAGTGCTTAAAAACATGTGGGTGGAATTACTATTCAGCAAAGCAGCAGCTATTACACAGTGAGGCTTCCATCTCTGAAAAACAACAGTTAACACTGTGGTTGTATTTTTTCTGATGTATTGCTCAAAACATTATCAGAAAAGAGTATTTCTGTTAATTAAGCTGACTTAAAACTTGGTGTGTCATTTCATTGACTGTTATTACTGTTTCTTGAAACCTTGTTCTTGTTTATAAATTTTTCGACTTGAGTTTAAATATATACCAAGCAGTTCAGTCTAGAAAATTTAGAATTGTAAATTTAATCCGTAACTTCTAGGTATGTGTAGGAACATATTGCATGAGACAGTAATGTAATTTGTGAGAAATGTCTACACACAAGCTTTCATATACCTTTATTCTGTCTTTAGAATTTGGAATGATGGGAGATCATACAATTAAAAGTCAGCGACCTCGATCTGTTCATGAAAAAAGGGTCCCTCAGGAACAAGCTGATGCTGCTAAATTTATGGCACAAACTGGTAATACGTTAGTTACATTTTTCTATTTATTGTTGTTAATTTAATGAAACCACTGCATGTTTTCATAATCTTTTGCTGCACATTTGTCAGTTTTTGGAGCTGATTTTTTTTTGAACCATTTTTTTTGTCACCAGTTAAAGTCCATAAATGAAGTAGCTGTGAGTTAAAAAATGCAAAAAAAAAATGTGTAAAATTTATTTTGCTTCAATATGGGACATTTAGGCTTTACATATTATTACTTATATTAACTACTTTAAATATATCATTCAACAGTTATTTCATTAATACTTAATTATTATAGGACTTTTCAGAAACAAAATTTTAAATAGGACTTTAGATGATAAAATTCAATTTAATAATAGTATGTTCAATATTTTTCAAATGTCATTCACATAAATATTAATTGATTGTTAAAATGCATAGAAATTTTAGAGACAATTATTTTAAAATTTAGCATTTTTGATATGAAAACCATTTTGTTATAGAAGCTAAATTTATTTAAGTTGTCTTTATTTTTAAGTTGTAATACACTCCAAATAATTAAATATCAACAAAAATGACTTTTTAGCTTATAAAACTTAATCCTAAATTAATTACTATTAAATACCTCCATCCAAATATATAAACAAATGCTTTCATATTCTGGCTCATCATTATAAATGGGCTATAATTTCATCTGGATACATTGCATGTGGTACATTTTTGGGTGAAATGTTTAAATTGTGTTATGAACAGTTTCAGCTGTCCATTTATTTTGGGAAATTCCAAATTAACAGTGTTATCTATGTCTTTATAAACTTTTATGCATTTTGATCTAATGATCACATTGAAAAATGGTTATTTCCTTTAGTTCATATGTTCTTAGGATAACATTTGTTCAGAACAATAGATTTGAATCTACAGCTTAAAGCTTATTAAATTGTGCTTTTGGAAATGGGTAAGTAGTAGATTTTAATACATTAGTTGCAAGTAGGTCAAAGAATTCTCAGAACATGAAGAATGTTTACAATAAATTCTACAATAGGGACATATTTTTAGCTTTTTTATGTATATGTTGCAGCCATACCCAGAAATGAAGAAAACTTGCTTGTCTGAATTGCTTTTGGTGTACCTTCTTATTATTCAACAAAGGTGATTTATATTTTTGCTATCTGCTTGAACAAGTCCAAAAGTACATTACCAGGTTGAGACAAATTTTCAAATTTCTAAATGTATTTCTTCTTCACAGGGAGCAAAATATCTCAACCACGGACTAGGAATCAGGGGACGTTTGACTCTAAATAGAGGCCTTAGGGCCCAGGCTGACTACTCCGCCCCCCTCAGGTGCTATTTTTAATGAAGTCATCTCTTCAAGATCATACTTTTTTGCAAAAGATATGGAAGGCATTGGTTTACTGAAATGACTAAAAATTGAGATCACTTAGGAGTAAAATGGTAAACTATAGTTTTAAATTTCCAGTAATGTAGTAAAATTAGTTTATGTTTAACATTATATAATCTTACCAGGTGTTTTACATAAATTCAGTTTTGGGATTTGCCTGCGACATATACCAAAAGAATTCACAGTTTTCACCCAAAACTTTTATTTTCAAATTCAAATCACATGGATCATTATGTTTCCATACTGAGAAATTGTTAATTTATTTTCCAGGAATTGTTTTGTATCTAATGTAAAGTAACACATCATTTGGTAAAATAGTTGAAACATTTATTAAATAGATCTGTGAGGAGTTTTAAAACCATATCCCCATAATTTTAACAGTAATTTAGAAAAAGCAATAAGCTTCAAAATTATGGTTTGAAAATATTTATTGGGTGCTCAAATTGATGAGTAATAAATATTTATTATTTCACTTTAATCCAAGGATAGTATAGGCAAATATAAATACATGTATAATACTTATTTTAAATTTAAATTACTATGATACTGATAATTGATTGGAAGCTGTACTTAAATAGTTTTTCAGGTACATAAAAATTTCTGATATTAGAAAAGTATAAAAATTAAAAGAGGGTTTTTTTTCTTAAGTATTTTCTGAGATGATACGTTCTTTAGATGGTAAGGCATTTAGTCTGAATAAATAGAGTTAAGTGTCACAAAAAATTTGACAAAAATTAAGTTTTATTTATAAAACTTTTACATTTGTCTTCCAAACCAAAAAATAGGTGTTATATATAAACAATGATAATATTGCTAACATTAATCTGAGAACAAAGAGTAATGCAATAGTGGTAAAATCTAATAATAAAAGATAATACAATTTTATATTAGTCATGAGGAAAAACAAAACAAAAGCTATCAAACTTTATAATTTAAGAATTACTTCTCAAAATGAGTAACCTGTCCTCTTCAATCAGTATGATCAGTAAACCTGCATTTAAAAAACAAACCTGCCATAAAATAATCGTGTGGAAAATTTTTTTAAAAGAGTAACATTTAGTTAAGTAACATTACTGTATCAAAATAGCGCTGGTAATAGATATAGCTAATTTGAACAAAAATGGACGCTGCTCCAATAGCCTAGCACACAATTTGTATTTATGGTCAAGGAAAATGAGCTGAAGCTATAAGATATTGATATTTAATAAAAATATAAAAGAGGAGTCTTTTATTCCAGTAGGGGAAAAAACTACATTAGTAATACATAGCATGTTATCTAAAACAGAAGAGTAAGTATGTTTCTAATTTCACAATATTAACATATTAGCACAATTTTATATTAATGGTTTGCTACAATTTAAAATGTTATGTAGTACATCACCTCAATTCTCACAAATACATTTTTAGTTAGATGTATTACTCATTTTATTAAGAGGTTCAAAGAAATAGAGTGACTTCCTCAGTCATAGAGCTAACATTCAGTAACTTTCCATCAAACATAGGTCTTCTAACTTTAACTCCAGCACTTTTCCATTTCCTTTCATGTTTTGTGCCAAGATAAAGAGCCTCAGTAGCACCTTAGGTATAGAAACCCTCTGCATGTACCTTCTCAGTTGCAAGTTAAGGAATCAGGTTAGTTTGTGTTATCTCCAAAAACATATATATTAAAAACTGAATCATTTGTATTTTACTTTACTATTGTTATATCAGTGAGTTTTAAAAATATATATCTTTATTATAAAATCTATTAGCTATTTCTCACAGTGTCCCGAAGTCCTTAACTAGAATAGACTTCACACCTTTTGGAGTGAGGAAGGAAGGGCCAGCATGAAAATCATAACCATTGAGTGGAAAGGTAACTTGAAACTATAGCATTTGAGAGATAGCAAAGTTATTTGGGTAGGTAGTGGCAAAATGTGCTCATCATTTGAACGCCAATATATATTTTATTTATTTATTTTGTTTTTGATCAACAAAATATATCATTAGTTTGGAGAGAGTAAAGAAGACCAATTCTGAGCATTAATTATCGATTGCTCATGATCCAGGCATCACTGCTTAGCCTGCTCAAAGTCATTATAGCATTATACTTTAAGAAGCAATCCAAATTTGTACATATTTGTACAGAAATACATTTAAAATTAGATCTTGATCCTGATTCATTGCTCAGTTTAATTAAAATATTTTCTCTGCCATCATAACAATGCAAGGGTAAGAAAAGGATTGCTTTTATGGAAAAAAAATATAACCAGTTTTATTTATAACCTTTATTATTTACTTACTGTAGAAGTCACATTATTCAAGGTTTTGTGGCATTTAAATAACATGCAACCATAATATTTCTACTTCATTTAATCTTACCACAAGACAGGTTGAAATATCAAGTGAAAAATATTTTGCTGCATATTCTCCCTAACTTTAAACTTAAATTTTCATTCTTAAATAAATATGTGCATATATACATATATGTGTGGATATTTGTAACCGTTATCATATTATTGGGTTGATAAAATAATGATTTTTAATCTTGATAGAGTTTTCTTTAATGTAAAATAACAAATCATGAGGCAAAGCTTTAAATATTATTCAAATGGTCTTCCAATAACATTTTTTGAATTAGTTATATATAAATTGGTTAAGACAAAAAATACTGAAATAATCAAGGGTGATCTATATAGTACTTCCAGGACAAACATGATCACAACACTAAAAAGAAGCCCTGTTTAATGTAATTTATCATCTCATTTAGCCCTTTCTGCTCTTTTATGGTATATATTCAGTTATAAATTCATTATACTCTATGCCTCTGGGTGAATAATGCAGACCACTATAAAAGCAAATGCTTCTTAATGGCATTACCCGAAGGGTAGTCTGCGGACCCATGCTTATTTGTGAACTAGTTGTATGGGCTCTCCAAAGGGAAAAGAAGCTTACAACAAAATGTAGAGTCAAGTACTTTATCAAGCACATGTTTTATTTCAGCTGACATTTAAAAAAAGAAAAGAAAAGAAAAGAAAAGAAAAGAAATTCTCAGTGAAGAAATCATTGAATTGAGTTACAGTCTGACCTGAGATCCGTATGTCCCTGAGTACCCGTCTGTGGCCCAGCTGCCTTAAGTAGCACTGCAAGTAATTTCTAGCCATTTACCTTTCAAAAAAGATGGACAAATGGATTACTATATTCCGTTCTTTGAGTTCTGTCCCAACGGCAAATTCTAAACAGATCTGTAAAATATAAATTGATTTATATAATCAATGCTACAAAGTTTTCAGGAACACTTTTCCTGTAAACATTTTCAATGACAAAGTGGTTAATTTTGAATAGTTCCTGCAAGCGTGTAATTGATCCGATTTTGCATTTGGGTAAAGCAACTACAGGCTTTCAAATCAGTGTTAAAAATCTATCCTGAACATAATGCCAGAATAGAAATGGGAGTATAGTACAATGATCTTAGAAATTATTGACTTTAAGTCTTCTTAGAATATGATTTTTGATAATAATAGAAATTAGACATAGTTTCAGTGTAATGCTTACACTGCAGTGCAGTGTTGTGATCCGTTTGTCCTTGAAGTACTGTATAGATCACCCTTGATTATTTCAGTATTTTTTGTCTTAACCAATTTATATATAACTAATTCAAAAAAAATTAATGAACTCAAACATTCATTAGCTTTTTAGCTCCCTATTTTTGAGTAATATTTAGTGCCATATTAAATTAATAGAAATCATAGAGGCTTTTTTTTATTTTAAGTAAAAATCATGACTGTAGATCATGGGGAAAATTACGGCAGAAGGTTTTCAATAAATTTTCACAAAATAAGTAGCTGACACAAGATGAAAAAGTAAGAATTTCACTAGGAATATAATATAAATAATTGTCTTTGTTTAACACAATAAAAATTAGATAAGCCCAAATTCCAGGGCTTTACCTCATCCAGCCTCAGAAAGGAGGCTATGCAATAAAGGGTTAGAGAAGAATGCATCAATATATTTCTGTTCACCAAAGCCAGAGTAATTTACCAATACATTTTCTTTCCTTGTCCATCAAAGTACAAAGCCTGCAGAGAATCAACTTCAACAGTAATTCTTGTTGAAAAATTCTGTCTGGCCCCTTCATAGTATCCATGACACAGTGTAAGTTGTGAAGAGTGGTTTTGCTAACAAGATTATAGCAAACTTGGACCTTGCAATAGCATAATATGTATCTCCCTTTAACTTTGTTTTCTCCTAAATGTTTTCTTGTACCTTTTGGTGTGCTGTTGTATTAATACATTTAAATTATCCTTGCATGCCATGATGTCAGTTTGGTATAATGCTCACTGCATGAATATTCAAGACAGTATTTCATGTTTATTTGTTGTCTTGCACGCAGGTGAATCTGGTGTGGAAGAGTGGTCCCAGTGGAGCACATGCTCAGTTACTTGTGGTCAAGGGTCGCAGGTGCGAACCAGAACTTGTGTATCACCTTACGGGACACACTGCAGCGGCCCATTAAGAGAATCAAGGGTTTGCAATAACACTGCCCTCTGTCCAGGTAGTGTTAGCAGCAACTACAACTGTGGATGTTATTGAATTGTGTCATGCTACGCATTTGGAAAGATTGATTTGTTATTTTCATATGAACTGGGTATAGACATTTTAATTAGAATGGATAAGTGTAATTCATATTCAATTGTGAAATTTTATTATAATGTGTGTGATTATTTCTGCTTTCAAAGCAGTCGAGATTATATAAGTGACTCTCTTACCCACTGCAACCAAAAGCTTGAAATTTCTATATCTGCCTGTAATAGTATTTAAGTGTCAATGTATTTTCTTATTTTAGATGGTGAAAATGTCCAATTGAATGTTTGAAGAATAACATAATTTGCCACCATGCTGAAAATATGATCTCTACTCATTGTCTAAGGCAGCAGATAGAGTCATCAAGGCAGTTAGCTATGTTCCTACAATTTATTTGACCCTATCAGGGAAACAGTGTCCCTGACCAAAGGATTTCCTGTTATTGCATTCAAGCGGCAGCCCTCATCAGAGTTGTGCACTGCTTTGTAAACGTAAAGTCATTATAAAATGCATATTTCTTGCATGTTAAATGGAGCATAGCACAATAGCTTGCTCTTTTAGGGTTAGATTTTCCATATTACATCAAACTTTTGTTCTCTGTTAGTGCATCGCATAATATAGGTGTTTCTCCCTCTCAGACCACTGACTTCCATATAAAAATAAGTACTAAAAAGAATGTGGACCTTCTTTCAAGAAGTCCAAAACGCATGAGGTAGTGAATCTTCAGACTTAGTTTTTTCTAGCCACTTGGTGGATGGCTGATGCAAACTTACAGACCTCTGCGCTTGCATTGACAGCTTTCCCGGAGGCCTCCAGAAGGGGGTGGGCATAAAGAGAGGGACTGGCACTGCATCAGCATTTCATCTGCTGAATTGTGCTTTAAAGTTTTCTGCTGAGTTTGATTTCCAGAGATGGCTGATTCTGCAGTTGCTAAAAGCGAGAGTAGAGAGTAGGTGGCATGGGGGAAGCACAGGGATAATCCCAATTTCCCAGCATAATGGTCAAGCGCAACCCATTAAAAGAGAGTTTAGAGAAGTTGTTGTTTTGTGGGTACAGTTTCTGATTGGCAAGATAAAAAGTTCTGGAGATCTGCTATACAACAATGTAAATATAGGTAACGCTACTAAATTGTATGCTTAAAAATAGTTTAGGTGCTAAATTTTGCATTATGTGTTTTTATCACAATAAAAGAAAAGACAATGTGAAAGAACTGCAAGTTAAAGGAAGTGGAGAGGAGTGATGTAAGTGACTCTCTTACACTTAAGGTGGGAGATCCCTTTATAACAGAAATGGGAGATACAAAGCAATAGATGAAGGTAGAAATAAAAGCTAAACAGTGCAGGAAGCGAGGAGGAAGGGAAGACAGAATAAATACTTTCCACTGAGAAAAATAAATGAGAGTCATGGGGAATTACACTACATGAAAAAAAATCAAGTGAAAAATAAAAAGATTTTTTTTTAGAGGGGAAAAAATTCTTAAGTTGGAAAGGGGAGATGATGAAAAAAGATGACAAAATCAGGGGCCATAGAGGGAACAGATTCTAAGTATGTAATTCCAGAGAAAGGAAACAAGGAGCAGTAGGAGCTGGGGATTCTAAGAATTCTAAGTTTTCTAAAGTTTATAGGTGAAACAACCTCATGGTTGAATACTTATGGATTTTCACTTAGTGTGGACAGAGTACCTTGTCTAGACTAGTACTTAAACAGGCCCTTAGTTATATACAGTATTTCTGTTAAGAGTTCCAAGATCAATTTTCATCCCCTTAACAATGATAAAAGTTTTAATAGAAAATTAAGCTGTACTTGATATATAAATTTATCTTGTCAGCATTTGAACACTAAAGATTCTTTTAACATACAAGGATAGAGTCTAAAAGCAAATGGATGCCCACGGGGAAGTCTGAATGGGTGTTGAAGAGTTCTCCACAATTCTGTATTCAGAGCTTACTTTCCAGCCACTAGTTAAACACATTCATATGGTTGACTGACACAGAAAACTCCATCTGTCTGCCAGAGACAGTTATTATTGTTTTTTGTTTGTTTGTTTGTTTGTTTTTATTGTTCAAATACATTTGTTTCCACTTTCCTGCCACCACTTTTTCCTGCCCCTCTCCCCCACTTCCCTCCCTCAATTCTTCCCCACTTTGGCTTTGTCCATGGGTCCTTTATACCTGTTCCTTGACTTGACCCTTCCCCTCCCTTTCCCCGCCCCCCCACTCCTTCCCTCTTGATTCTGTTGGTTTCTTTTTTCTTTCAATGTTCCTGGTGATATTTTCCTTGCTTGTTTGTTTTGTTAGTTATGATCCACCTCATCCCTTCACTGGGCACAGAGAGCATTGGTAGCTGGACCAGAGTGCTCTCCCTTTCACTCTATATCTGATGTCCAGAAAACGAAAATGTTCTGTGGTTACAGAGGTGTTCCTCAAATTTTTAAACTTCCAGCATTTTATCGACTAAAGAACTATATGTTACTAGTTTTTCTTCACCATCATATGTATATATACATACATATGCGTGTGTGTGTATATATATATATATGTTTGTCTTTCTAAATTTGGTTAAAGAATACTGATAAAAAGAAATATGTATATTTTAATCATTGTTATAGTTCAGATGTTGAATTAAAGAGAATGAAAAGCATTTGGGTAATTTCTTGTTCATTTTTCAAACAATAAGAATAATTTAACAACTTCATTATTGATATTTGTACTAGTATAAGCAATAAAAATAAATATGTAGAACAAGTATTCCACTATAGTACACTGTGATAGCTAAAGTCTTTTAGATGGTTATTGCATTTATTATGAAGTGTTTTGTGTTCAATATTTTGTTCAGTTATTTGCCATACTGGTAAATATGTATTTCTTTTCAAAATGATATATCATGAAAACAGAGACAAAAAATGATTTTTAAAAGCTTAAATAGTACTTTAAACATTGTAAATATATTTCTAAAATAATACTGTAAATTACCAAAATTCCCATGAAGAAAATGTGTTCAGAAATCAATAACCCACTTGTCACACTGTGGATACTCAAGTGTATTTGACATATAATTAATAAAAATGATACAAGGACAAACTAAATATGAAAGTCACTTTCCACAAAATATGTGGAATGATCGCATTAGTGCTTATATTAGTTTGCACTATTAAAGGCTAATCAATAATGTTATAAATCAGTTACCTTTTACCCATATTATTCAAATTTCAAAATAAGGATTTTCTTAGTTAAAATGCATAATAATGTATTACTTCTAATATGAATCCTAAGATAACCAGCCTGTTGAAAAATTGTTGCTTTGACATTCTAGATTCTTCAAAACCTCTTATTACTCAGAGAAGAGAATGATAGGGATAAACAGAAAGTAAATTAAGAAAAATGGGGAGCTACATTAAATTGTATATTTACTGTCCCAATTTCTAAATTATAGTTTTATGGTATCTTCCAAGGTTTCCAAACTTTGGTGCTATTGACATTTTTGACATAAATCAATTCTTTGTCTTGGGGGGCTGGCCTGAGCATTTTTGGATATTTAGCAGCATCCCTGGCTTCTATCCTTTAGATACCAGCAGCTCTCCTTTTTCTCCTGAGCTGTGACAACTAAAAATCTCTCTGGATATTGCCAAATGTCCCCTGGGTGGCAAAATTGCTCTGATAGAAAACCACAGATCTACTCTATGCATATTCTAATCCTTTAGAGGTTTATTTAGAGTAAGGAATGATTTTGAAATTTTTTTGTAAATGTCAGTTTTCAATTCCATTTATTCTTATGGAAAAAACAAAACCTTTTACTTAAAGGAATTATTTTATATATCCCAATATAAATCATAATATAATTTGTATGCTTATTTAAAAATCTGGTAGTAACATAATTTGTGTATTGTGTATTTCTTATTTCATCTCTAGGTAGCACAGAATAGAGATGTGATAATATAGGTAGTGTCCAAGTAAAAAGAAAAATATTAGATTCTTCAAATTGACTAGATCATTTACAGATTTTCATATTTTACTGAAAAAATAAAGAATTTGTGTAATATTTGCCATTAAAATAAAATATCTAACTTTTACCACATATCTTATGAATAGCATCCATAAAATTTAGTATATGTGCTATAGTTTCCTACATTTTCAACAATATCTAAAATAACAAATTATTAATAATTTTGTGTTCTTTTAAAATAAAAAAGTATTTCTGCTTTTTAAAAATGATATGGAAAAGTCATTAAATTTCACCTGGAACAATGATGAATGTTAAAAAGTAATAAGTAGCTTCATTTTTCAGAGGATTACAACTTTAAGTAAGCCATCAAAATTAATCAACACTTCTTTGAGATTAATAGAGAAAAATATGCCTGTTTACCAGCTTTTTTTCTTCTGGGATTATTCAATGTACATAGAGCAATGTGATTTCATCAAAAGAAAATGACTAGAACCAGCAATATGAATAGTTAAACCTTGCATCTCAAGAATGGCTTCATTCTCAAACAATTTGGTTCTTGACCAAGTCGTTCACAGAAAAAAAAATGTCTCTATTATTTAAGTAACTTCAGGTCTCGACAATCTACCTGACAACGCTTCCTGATGTACCTGTGTGGTCAGTTACGGGTCTCTCAGGCAACAAACAAAGGAGATTCGTTTTTATAACAAATCGCTTCTCAGTTTTCCATAATGAATTAAGTTCAAGAACTGAGTTTCCACTGTACTGTATAGTCTACTTATATTTTATTTGGAAAATAGGAAGAAAAGAGATAAGAATGAAGAGATTTTGGTAACTAGAAATCATGCAAAGATTGATTAAAAGTATATATTTAATATAAAATATAGTCATACAGATTACTTTTAAAATATCTTGCTATAATTGATAACATATTACCTATATGTAAATATAGGCATATGTATATTTTTCCTTAGATTAGGTAAGATTTACAATGTATTCTTATTTCAATGAATATAAGCTGGCTTCAGTTATCTCAAATTTAAATGGGAAATATGTAAACATAATTTATCTCACTCTTTTACTTTTTCTATATATTTAAAAAATATATTCTTTAGCAAGTTTTATAGAATCTTAAAGAACTTGTCATTATTATTCAAATTTGGCTATTTTTTCCATATTTGAAATATTTTCATAACCATTTGGAGCAGCTCAGTTGTATAAATAGAAGAGAATGAGGTACTTTGTAATTAAAGTATCTTATATCTGTTTTTACAGTAACAACTTGGTTAGCATATACTTGCAAAAAATTCTAGATATGCAACCTATACTCATATAACCCCTCTGACATTTTATATGGACTTCTACCTACTGCTACCATTTTTGAGGAGAAATGAACATCTTTTTATCGTCATCTTCTATCATAAATTTCTACTCCTCCAAGTCATACCAGTGGGCGTCTTGAACTTCAAAGATCATGGTAAAACTAGAGGTAACACAGGAGCTTTTGAAAGAAAGAGCACATTTTGCCCAGCCTTTATAAATTATAATTTGCATTATCCATGGAATGCTGCTACTTCCTGTCCCAAAATTAAGAATTTGGTTGAGATTAGTGTTTTTACAGTGCAAGAAAAGGATCTGACCTTTAAACCCTAATGAACTTTATCCAGAAAATGTCAATATTTATTGACAGTGAATATTATATAAGTATTGTATTAACATTTCTGATCAAGTTTGACTTTATTACAATGGTAAACTTGAAGTATCGGTGTATCAATAAATTATGTTAGGCATAATTTTAATTAGATCACTTGTTTTCTCTAGAAATTTATAGTGATTAGGAGGATTCCCAGTGCCATCTTCTCTTTTCTTGGCTACTAGAAAGACACCTTTGTATTTGCCACTCCTTTTAAAACAGGGAAAGAAGAGGCTCTTTATGCAAGTAGATATGGTTATTGAAATTTCCCTCCTATTTAAAAATAGTTTAAATAACTACATTTTTAAATAGCAAAAATACATTTAGTTTTTAAAATTTGAGGTTAAAAGCTATTTAAAATATGTACCATCAATTTTCAGATGTTTTTTCTGACACCCTAAACTCATTAATCCTGAAACTTTCTTGGAAGAGTTAAGTAGGCCCTTATCTATTTAAATGCAAATTTAACTCCAGAGGTTCACCTCTGTTATCATAAATTTACTTTTCTAATACTACTTTAGTTGTTTTAGTTAAAAATAACTCATGACTCTATTATCAGGGAGAGAGTGGTACTTTTTCATTAAGAAAACACTTAAACTTTATAGCATGAATAACTTCAAATACAGAAAAAATGCATGTGATTTTCCTAATTACTAATTTTCTTATTACTTTTTACATTTTGTGGCAAATAATAATGTTAACTCAAATGAATTGTTAAAATATCTTCATAATTGTAATTTGATGAGGTTTTTTTCTTAATTATGAGGGATAAAAATCTTTGATTTTTACCTCTCTGCTTTTGTTGTTGAAGCTTCTTTACTTTGTTACAGTACATGGAGTTTGGGAGGAGTGGTCACCATGGAGTTTATGTTCATTTACTTGTGGTCGAGGCCAAAGAACAAGAACAAGGTCATGCACACCTCCTCAGTATGGGGGAAGGCCGTGTGAAGGACCTGAAACACATCACAAGCCTTGTAATATTGCTCTATGCCCAGGTGAGCGTGTTTGCATTTGTCTACTTTGTATATGTATTAAGAAATTTTAAGAGCACAGCCTTCATTCCATCACAATGGAAAATGTGGTTTTGGGTTATTGTTTCTTGATTAAAACTGGTTACCATTCCTGATTTTGTCATATAGAATGGTGTATAGTACTTCCTTAACTGAGTACCCATCAGGGCTCACATTTACTGGATTTCTGTAAATAATGCATAGTAATGCTTTTCACTAAGATTTTATCTACACTTGGTTTTCCATTCTGGGAAAATCATAAGAAGTCACAAAGACTTGAGAGTGACTGTTGCCTTCATACTGTAACTAGAGAGACCGGTGTAGAGGAAGGCAGTCCTTTTGATGTTATTCTCTCACACTCATTCAGTTTAGGAATGGAAGTGTGCAAATGACCATATATGAAAATAATATGTATTTTCTGGAAAATAAATTCATCTAGAGCCACTGCTAGATACATAAAATGGTTAGATCATAAATGATATAATCATTGTGATTGTGAAGACTGTTTTTAGAGTGACTTTGTTATGTCAAATTTTTCTTTAAAACGTTTGAATTCTATTTTACATGTCTTTAATAGTATCACCATTATTAGAGAGATAAGTCTTTATAATGCTGTTATTTAGGTTATTGAAATAATCAAACATAAAACAAAATCTACAAAATGAGAAAGAATGATCCCTAGCTTCCAGGGGCTTACAATTTATGGGAGAAAAATACACGTACACATACTCACACAAATGATAGAATCTCCCATGACTAGCAAAGGCACAAGACATGGGTGGGAAATGACAAACGCTAACAAGAATAGCAGAGACCAAAATAAATAATTATTCATCTACGACTTAGGAGATTTTCTCATGGGGCCATTTAGTCACATATTCTATATCCAAGCAACATAGCTAGGATGCCAGTAATGTGCTCCAAACACATTATCCAACTCACGTTTAGTTTTATTTGCCCTCTAAATTCCCCAAGTTAATATCCTATATTATGAGACAATGATTCAAAGTTCTTCTGGAAATTTTAAGTATATAAAACATCTTAAACTATGAAAAATGATCTATAATATAGATATGCAACAGTCACCTAACAAGCTTAATTGTTCCCTTTTAGTTGATATAAAGACTAGTAGGTTCCTATACTTAGGAATATAAAGTTAAAGATGTAATATTTATATTGAATAACATTGTTCTCCTAGAATTCTATAAATTATGAATATAACACTTAGAATTTAATGTCTGTGTAATTATGACTATTGGGGAGTCAAAAAATCATGGTTAATTATTTATGAGTTTCTCCCAGAAAATGTATTTATGAAATCAGTTATATGCTGTCTTTACATTTTTTTATAAATATACAGATAGGAGGGCACATATGTATTTATGCTCTGCTACTTTTCCAAAAATTTGGGCAAGCTTATTCAAATTTTAGAATCTTTTTTTAAGTGCTGAGTTGTGACATATATAGTATAATATAGTTCCCTCTTATTTGTTCATGGAGTATGAAAAAGTAGATAACATGGGAAAATAAAAAATAATAGTCAACTGTAAAATATCTTTTAATATGTTAGTTTTCATTGCTTCTTTTACCTCACTTGACTCCTAGTGCAAAGACAAAATGACACTGATCAATTAAAATACTATCAACCAGATTTCTCATAGTCTTCTTTCCATGAATTTTTCTAGGAATAAAATGCTTGGATATCAGGTAGGGATACTAAGTTTTAAAAGTCAGCTAAGAAATCTCATTTTCCTAAGTTGATATAGTTGTTGCTTTATCACGCAAGTAGGAACCATGTGTGTTTTCAAGCTTCTCATGTTTTAACAGTATTAGATCATCATTGGAATCACTCTAAGACCATATTAATTGGATAGCTTTCTTTTGTATAGGTCCTTAATTTTTAAAAGGTATGTTTATATTATTTGTAAATGGGACCTAGCTCATATTCTCTCCTAAGTGATCATTATAGGTCCATCCAGAGTACTTAATAAATTATTATGTGTCCTTCATGACCCCTTTACTGCCATTCTTGAGTTTAGTTGCATTATTAAAGATGTAAAATTCTTACCACCATGTATCCCAATTTTCTTGCTATGTGCCAAAATTTGGGGCATTAAGCTTTTGAAATATATAGGACTTATCTGATGTAAACATTTGGAATTCTTCTTAGAACTAATTTTCTTATCACTAAATTCAGGCATCTTCACTAAATATGAAAAGCATCAAGTATCAACAAGATGTAAAACACTACTGAGAAGAATATATAGTCCCTGACCTCAAGAAATTTACAATTTATTTATAGGATTCAGACATAAGCATGTGACATTTGAATGCAGTTCTGAAAAACATGAGAGTATTCTACCTCAATGAAAGGTAGTGATTTGAGAACTCTGGGTCCAACCTACATTTCTTGCAGCCATTCTACCTGAGATTCCTAAGTCATCATCTGAAGGGGTAAAGTGTCATAGGAAGTGCATCAATAATGAAAACGGTGGGTCAAAGCCTACAGTTGTTTTTCCTTGCTTAGGCAAGTTGTGAAGTGAAAACCAGAAGATGACAAAAGAGACATTTGAAACAACAAATTTGGTGTCTATGCACCATCTTTGCTGAATTTGGCCTTGTGGGTTGCAGTAATGGATAGTTGACATTTTCGTGTGGGATCATGTCAGAACAGTATTTCAGCATCTGTTCAAAGAAACACATATAACCACTATAAAGAAGTAGGTGTTGTGTAGACATGATGTGTATTGTTTACATCAAATAATGAAATATGTATTATTTATGTAAATTTTTATATCAGCTTAGAAGTAGATGACATCCTATTTTGATCAGGTACTTTCCTTAGTGATTGTTCAACTTCCTCCCACTTCTTTTGAGGTTAGGGTAAACCATTTGCCTGGGATCCATATATGGAGAAAATATAGAAAAGTAAAAGGTAGATATGGCATTAACCTACTTTGAATTATTAGTTACTAATTTGGGTACCATGTCTGACAACAGAGACTGGTGTTGGTTGGGGGAAGGTAGGCCAGCGGCATAGAGCAGGTGAAGGAATTCACTATGATTTATTCCCTGACTCAGAAACATAATGTGACCTCATTTTCCACCTTTTCTCATGTATACTAGTAATTAAGTGTGATATTATGGAAGGGTGAGTGTATGTATGTTTATGTTCAGTGGTCTTTGTGACCTGTTTCTTTCATTTCACCAAACTTAGAAATTTTGGCAATCCAACCTACTTTTCTGTTTTCTCTAAATTTTCATTGCAGTCACTAACTGAGCATCAAGTTTATAGTACTATTAACTGATGTATTTGGCATCAAGGAAATTCTCTTTCATTTCCTTTTTATCTCTTCATGCAACTTTTACTTGACAATATCCAATTTCTTAACATATACATATCCCAATTTCTAGTTAGTCCTCATCCCAACATTTTATAGGATATTTTTCTGAGTATATTGAATAATACATTGATGTGGTGTAGTAAAAGGAACTTGGACTTTTTAAATTTAGACCTCACCTTTCAATATCTGTGTTGCTTCTCTGATCCCTAGTTTCTTCTTCCATAAAACGGGGACTGTAGTATTGTGAATAATACCCCTTCACAGAACTGTGAGAGGACTATGTGAGATGCAATAAGGGAGAGAACTTGGTAAATAGCAAACAATATATAAATATTATTGTATTATAACAATTAACTCCAGTCAAAGGCCATCAGGATAACACCTGCAGTTGAACAGGATGAGGTTGTTATTCTTGGCAGTGAGGGAAAATCAATGGCATAGGGAACTGTGGGGCACCTCAGTAAGAGGATGTTAGAAAATATTTAATTGTTTACTTTTGTGTTGGTTGATTTCAGGAAGGGTTTAAGGAAATGGGGCTCTGCTCTGGATTTGGTAATGTCAGAAAGTAGGGGGGTGGAATTCTGTGATTTGGTACCTTAATAAATTATCTAGGAGGAAAGAAGACTAATGTCATTGGTAAAGAAGTGGTACTCACTCATATTAGCTGAGAGAAGAGAATGTTTGGAACTTTGTTGGTTGCACTGTGCCCTTGATTTTGTCTATGAAGTGACCTTGTTTTATCTCACTTTACCACAGTCTTAGAGTGACCTTGTCCAATGTTAATGTCCTCTGAGATGGTTTCAGGTCCAACATGAGATAACATAGTCTAGCTATGAGCCCTGAGCCAGCTGCTAACGGCACTGAGGTCTAGCTGTGTCAGACCAGTTCCAGGAAGTCACCTTGATGCAACTCCTCCTGTGCTGATTTGACCGCTTGAGAGCCTTCTGTTTTTAATGATTTTGATTTTTATTAACATTCAAAAGGAGAGAAGGGTCAGACATAATAAAATGTTTACATTTTCTAGGCATGCCCTTCATTAAAATTATATATGTACAAGGCCCAGCAGAAGTAAGGCTTAATTGAGTGTAGTTGGTAGGTTACGTGAATGTCACATAACACAAATGTTACATGAAATGGACATAAATTTGAACATTTCACCTAAAATATCACGTGGTGTATTTGAGTATGATATTGTTATGTTATAGAATTACATGGTTATGATTTTGTAATAAAAAAAAGGGAATTATTTGACTGGACCCTGTGTGTGTATGTGTGTGTGTGTGTGTGTGTGTGTATATACATCGCCAAAATAAAGTTGCATAGCCTTTTCCAACATCAAATCCTTTAGGGAAAATAAAAGCTTAAGTTCGTAGTTCGAAGACTCAAGCATCATAGTAATTTTCTTTATAGTATATTACTTTAGAAAAAAAAATATCCCTCTTTTAGCATTTGAAGACTGAAGGAATCAATGATTTAAGTTTGGTCCTCTTTTTTCTCATTTTTGGCAATTCTTATTCTGATGTTTTATGTAGTAGAGTCCTCATAATATAGAGGATAGGGATTATAATAACTGAGTGACAGATTGAAGCCTAAAATAAATGAAAAAACCATTGACCAATAAGTTTTCATTTATGTCCTGAA